GCGCCTCTGAGATTGTCGTGGTGCCCCTATACAAGCGCACAGTAGATGAAAACTTTGGTCGACCAACTTTGAAATTGCGGTTAGTAATCGGTTCTTGCCTGCACGCTTCGTGTCTATCAAGGGTAGCAGCTGAGTTATTCCGGCATTGCGATGTAGGTAGAGGGTGCATGCTTCGTGGAGACCTTGGCGATTGGACTAGTCCTACAGTCTTGGCCATAGACACAGCGGCCTCTTGAATTTCCAAAGGTTTCTAGAATAATTCTTGACAGCCTTCAAGATGCGATAACGACCGTGAAAGAGTGTTTGTGCGCATCCAGAGAGTACGCAGCTCTGGCGGCACAACAACTTCTTATCCCAACGGTGCATCTTGTCTGCATGTCAGCTGTGCTGCACACCTGTTTTATGCTAGAATTGTTTCTGGGTATGACGCACGTTTAGGAGTGCTTTGCGCATCTTGGTATCTGTGGGTGGAGCAGGGGCAGTGATCTAGTGTTCTGCGTAACCTCTACTTGTTCGCCCAAAACGGGTGCGTAAAGAAGCAGTGCACCTGTGCGCATTTTCATGAAAGTCGGCAATCCATATTAACGCCGCATTTGAACCGTGAAATATCACATGTGACAGTCATATAAGGAGGGCTTGAGCTGGCGCATCGGCGCAGCGGCTCTGCTTGCCACATCCGTCTGCGCACCAAGTGCAAATGGCATTTGCACTCCCTTCTGTCATCCCATTTCGCGGAGCTTTGCGGCATTTTGGGGGAATTGTGCTGAGTGACTTAGTTTGCCTGTTCTTGTTGGCTCCTGATTTGCCATGCAATCTGCTTGCGTGGCAAAGCATTGCGCGCCTGCACGCGAGGGTCTAACAGAGACGCTGGTCTGCATGGTGGCTGCAGCTGTCTTCAATTCATCTGCGGGTCGAGTGGCGACCTGTTCATATTTGGTTTGGTGGTTCCAGGCGATGTATCTATGCTGTTGCACGACATGACTCCATATGGGAGTGATGCGTCGCAATGGATCGCCACTCCACCTGCATTTCTACCTGGGGATGGAAGGCAATGCTGAGCATGCGACGTGCCGCAGTGTGTGGAGGGTCGGCTAGTCGTAGATGAAAAAAAGACAATAGCCAGAGTTATGCACTCTAGCTAGCTTTTTTAGGCCTGAAGTGCTCGTTGTGCAAAACGTCTGCGCGTACAAAACTGGGTGCGGCCTTCACCATTCGTATCCTGCCTCAAGAATGAGGCGCCACACGTGTGCATTTAGAAATCATACAGATTTCATCCACATACAGGCGGAGCAACGCTTTGGTGGATCTGTAGGGACACCAACGAGCAATCTTAGTTAGCCATTTTCCCCTGCAGCCAGTGCGTCGGCGTTGCCACACAATATAGCTCGGTGAGCCGTCATTATATAGCGTGTAAGTGCGCTTCCAGTTCGCCGTTTAGTTACTGGTGAAATTATGTTTCCTCTTCCGCACCTCTACCGGTGTATGAATCGTCAAGCAATCTGAAAATAAGGTAGGGCCAGGCTTTCATCCTCCGTGCACCGGTTGGTGTTTTATTTGCCCGTCGGATTACGTGGAGCAAGAAGCATTGCATAGCCAGCGCTCACTGCTTGTGTTTCCCGAGAATCATGGACACTAGACACTGGCGCTGATCTTCAGGCCAGGGTTGCGTGTTGTTATTGCGTTTTGCTTGCTTTTTCCTTCGGAATGGCCCTGTATAATTTCCCCATATGCAAAAATTGAGTTGCCATTGCCCCGGCTCACAGCCACAGGGCCAGTTGCTGAACGCGCTTCTTTCGCTTTAATATCTGCTGCACATGATGGCTGCACAGAAAAGCATTGCCTACCTACATCTCTTAGGTAGTATCAACTGACCAACCTCACTAGCCTTCCATTTATGCACCAGGTGTGGGACACACGCAAAGATGTATCCTTTTGCGGCGTATGTATTTGGTGCACCTGCAGGCTTATTTTATAGCGATTGAGATCGATTTCTGAATTCCAGTCAGTGCGTTGGTGCCGGAGTGTAGCACAGGTAGACAAGAAAGGTGTGCGTCAGCGTTAAGTCTCAGGTCAGCTCCAGAATTAGTATGTGCAGTGCTGTGGAGGTCAAGGCGAAGCAGAGCATGCAGCGCTATGGCTACGTACACCGTGGTGCAGCGGTGATTCCGGAGAGTAGCGGTGGCCTTCGGTGGACGATAAGACTGCGGCATGAGATGTGGAATCTTGCGCGGGCTGTTTTTGGGACAAGGACAGTAATTTACTTTCTGTTACACAGCACTGTTCATCTGCATGGCGCAATCGGTTTCCTCGTGCCACTTGTTTAGGAAACTTGTATGTCATAGATATGTTGGACTCTCTGAGGTTCCCGGATTCTGCGCTTGCTTGTTGTGCTTCTTCAGCGATACTGGCGACCTAGTGAAGGTCAATTTTCCGTTTTAGTAATGTGCATCGGCGACGCCACACAGCATAGTTACTAGCGCTGCGGATAGTAGCGCTGCGGATAGTACAACGTTTGGTTTGCTGCGGTTTTAGTCCCGCTTGGCGAGGTCCTCTTTTGCGTTTTCAGCCAGTGCGTCGGCGTCGCAGTATAGTTAGGATACAATTGCGTAGACCACGCCAAGTTTGTTTTAGATGCTAGTCGCATTTCTGGTGCTCTGGGGGCGATATGGAGCGTCCTTTCCTGCTTAGAACCGCGGGAGTAGTGCTAGTTGATCCTTCGTTATGCATTTGTATGCATTCGCAACCGTGACGAGCGATTTGCGGCGGGTGGCGGTGGCCCCTGGTGAGCTCTGCGATTTTAGTCTGCGTGCAGTACCTTGTACCAACTGTGAGAAGAACAAAGACAGTGTTCGGGCTCTGAGTCGTGAGGCATTGTGGCGTTCGGGTTTCTCGCGGTTGCACGGTAAAGCGTTGCTCCACCGAACCGCGCTACAAGTGCGCATGTACCTGCGTTTGCGCGCGATCACGAATGTTTTCTATGCCTACCCAGTAGGTCGCTGTCGCCAAACTACAAGGGTACCCAGGCAAAGGGCGCACGGTGGCCCATGCATATACGTACATGCAACAGTGGGAAGTCCTTTGCAGCGGGTAGCGGTACCCGTTTGTGTACCATAGGATTGCAGGCTGAGGCGGCATATTTCGTGCGACCTGGGACAGAGCAAATTCAGGATTACAATTTCTGGGCCGTGCACCCCCCCGCCGTTCGGCATGTTTAGAGGTGGTGTTCGTCTGAAACAGCGTCGCTGTATTTATCTGCGTTGGACGTGGGTGTTCGATTTCAACAAAACCAGGGATGGCTGCGCTCGAAGCTCATC